ATATTCTCTCTCAACAGTTGTTCTCAAGAGTTTTCTATCTGCTGAGTATTTGGAACCAGCTATTGAATGTGATATTTGGTATTGTTATCAGTTTGGCACAGAAGTCCTTAGAGAGTCTTAGTGTATCCCAGGTATATACATAAAAATTTCAATCACATGCTTTCCTGGATAAAAGGGTGGAGCACATGGTGTTGCAAGGATGCATATTGCAAAATATCATCATCACAATATTAGTCTGTGCAAAATGTATACCATGAAGGACATTTTGAAATGCAAATAATTGTCAGCTAATATACAAAGTTGTATTTTACCTGCTGATGGAATGTTTAGTCACTACTGCTCACATTGGACATCAGTGTTATTATCGATAATAATAAATGTTCAAGCATTTGTAAAGCAGAGATGACAGGGAGAGAAAAAAGAAAAAAAGTATATATTTCAATTTATATGGTCATCATAGTATTTTATAATACAACTTTTTTACAACTTTTGCCGCCTTACTGGGAAGCATAAGTTAACCTTGACATCTGAGATATTATGCTTTCATGACATCAGCACCAGAAGTGCTCTGTAGACCTTGTTTAGTTTTAGAGGAAAGGATTTAATCAGCTTTAGTACAATCTGTTTATCATCTAATCTTTGTGTGTTATATAAGAGATTTACTAAATAAATATGCTGTGACACTAATATGTGACTTCATGGCTATGTTTCTTTGACTTATCGAAATGCTTCAATTAATCTTATAAAACCTGCTTCAGCAAACAATTCCCAAGTCCTTTTTTTTTTTTTTTTCATCGTTGAAGTCATGTTTTAACAGAGTCTCATTTTTAATTTATTTTCCTTTTCTCCATTAGCTGGAAGCCTCGCCTGCAGGTAAATGTGCACATATACCCGATGCAATGTGAAACCATTGTCTGTTTACTGGAAATGGAACAAGGAACTGTGCCACTGAACTTGCCTGCAGTGCTGCAGGTGCGAATATCTGTGTCCTGGCTATTGTGATTAATGGCAATGAAACCTGGGCCTTGGCCCAGCACGGAGTGATCACAATAGCTCTGACAAAGTCAATCAAAACAATCTGTCAGTGCCAAGAAAAAATGTAAAGGGGGGAGATTGTTCGTGAGGCCAGGTTGCCTGACAGCACTGCTGATTTATCACAGATGTGCATTTCTGAGAGCATGGGCAAACACAATTTTAGCATTTGTGAAGAATTATTTTTTGCTTTCATGTGGCCTTTACAGGGCAAGTTCAAATAGTGGAAAGATCATTGTGGATGGACAAAACACATGGATACACTCTACATAAGCATGCACAGACACACCTGGCGGAAAATATTTATAGCATTTTGCATTTCAAACACTGATGAAAAAAGTCCTTACTTCATAATTGTACACGTGTAAACTAATCATCGTGATGTGGATCATTTTTATAAGTAGAGTTTTCACTTTGCAGAAAAAATAGCCTGTTGATATTTATTGAAAAAAAAAATCTTTATGACCTTCTTAGCAAATACTTCACTGGTATTTTGAGGCTTTATTTTTGGTCTTCAGCTCCAGGCATTTGAAGCTCCTTGCCATAACTCTAATATTTAGCTCCTTCTAGGTTTTTTTTTCGCAAATTCAAATCATTATCCGGGGTGATCCGATGTGAACTGTTAGCTTTAAAAAATAAATAAGTTGCTCAATCAAAAGAGATTGAGCAACTCATGTTCTGATTGTATTTTTGAAATGTTTCTCTAATGCCTCACTTGCAATGACTGTGAAATAAAAGTTTGGCCAATGTACATTATGAACCCAGGTTATGGGCGCCCCCAAAAAATTATAAAAAGTCTTTAAATAAATGTATAGATTTTTTTACTGTGTACTATAATCTAACATTTATAGAAAATTAACATTTAATTATGTTGAATATGTGTTCACAATGAGCCAGAAACAGCATGTCATGTTATTTTTTAATCAACAAGGAAGCAAATGATGAATATGAAACTACATAAAACAAATATCAATTTAAAAAATATATAAAAAAAGTATCACATATCAATAGATTGATCATTGAAGAGCTATTTTTTTATTTCTATAATTGAAACAAATTACTCATTTATTTACAAGGAAGTTTTTATGCCTTTTTTTGTTGGTGAGGATAATTTCCTGTTTACATCCAGTGAAAAAACACAAAATATAAGATTATTACATCAGAATAAAGAACAAAAAAAAAAACAAAAACAAAAAAAAAAAGAATCTAACACCCAAGAAACAGATCTAATTTTCTGACTTTGCATTATGTAACACCTAAATATAGAAAATGACGTTTGAATTTTGAGTGTAGATAAGAGTGAAACTATGTTACTGTGTTGTGAGAAGTTTAGATTTCAAGGCTTTTCATTTGTTTTTTTTACCACACCGCACTCTTGCAACTATGGTTTTTAAACGTATGTATTGAACTTGCAAACGTCATTCTCAGTTCTATTTGAAAATAAAAAACCCTTCTTTATTCTACGGAAGAGGATTAGGGACACTGAAAAAAAAAAAATTGACTGATTTTTAGAATTCATTTCAGTTTATTTTGGGAAAAGGGTCAGATCTCACATCTTTGTCAGTGAAGCTGAGTGCTCCCACATGTATTCCCTTATGGTGCCAACCTACATTCAGATTCAAAATTCTGAGATTAAAGTCAGAATTCTGAGAAAAAAGTCAGAATTCTGAGATTAAAGTCAGAATTGTGGGAAGAAAGTCAGAATTCTAAGCTTAGTCTGAATTTCAAGATTGAAGTCAGAATTGTGAGAAAAAAGTCAGAATTCTAAGATTAAAGTCTGAATTCTGAGATTAAAGTCAGAATTGTGAGAAAAAAGTCAGAATTCTGAGATTAAAGTCTGGTTAAAGTCAGAATTGTGAGAAGAAAGTCAGAATTCTAAGCTTAGTCTGAATTTCAAGATTGAAGTCAGAATTGTGAGAAAAAAGTCAGAATTCTAAGATTAAAGTCTGAATTCTGAGATTAAAGTCAGAATTGTGAGAAAAAAGTCAGAATTCTGAGATTAAAGTCTGATTAAAGTCAGAATTGTGAGAAAAAAGTCAGAATTCTGAGATTAAAGTCTGAATTCTGAGATTAAAGTCAGAATTGTGAGAAAAAAGTCAGAATTCTAAGATTAAAGTCTGAATTCGGAGATTAAAGTCAGAATTGTGAGAAAATGTCAGAATTCTAAGATTAAAGTCAGAATTCTGAGAAAAAAGTCAGAATTCTGGGATAAAAGTCAGAATTGTGAGAAAAAAGTCAGAAATCTAAGATTAAAGTTTGAATTCTGAGAATAAAGTCAGAATTGTGAGAACAATGTCAGGAATCTGAGATTAAAGTCAGAATTCTGAGATTAAAGTCAGAATTGTGAGAAAAAAGTCAGGATTCTGAGATTAAAGTCAGAATTCAGACTTTTTTTTCTCATATTATACTGAAATAAAATTTGAAAAATGTTTTTTTATTTTTCACTGGCCCTAATCCAGTGAAAAACTCTTTGTAGTAATACTATCTTAAGAGGAATCTTTAGAGTGGAATACATATTTGAGGAGACAGAAAAAGAAGAATAAAGACAGCTTATTTATTTTTTCTATAATCTTTTTGCAACTGTTAAACACCAGATTTTTCCCATTGTGGGACAATAATGGTATTTTAAATTCTATTCTATTCTTAGTGATGTGTCACATATATCAAGTGTAGTGTAGGTAAAATTGTTAATAGCTTTAGGTTGACTCTTTTTTTAATCACAAACCTGAGTGTGAAAATGTTTTTGAGACTGTACTGATGTGACTTTTAAGAGTTTCAATAATAGTGTCATGCACCTAGTATTTCTTTTGTCTTTAAAAAGCCATGTTTAACAGAGACATGTTTATTACTTCCTCTCTTGACTCTTTCACATGTAAATGTCGGTGTCAGAATGGAATTATTAGGGGCATTCAAACCAATTATGTTATTATGGCTTGTTATAATGCGATTATAGAGATTGAGCTGGGGCTGATTGTCTCTTTAAGAAGTAGTGAGAGTGGCGGGGGGGCTGAGGAGGGGAGGGGGCGCGGTTTCACACCCTCGGGTGGGAAAGGGAGGCGGAGTTTCGGCGTTGATTGACAACCGCTCAAGGGCTCTTCACTCCGCGATGCGGGGAGAAGCGATCCGACCAATCAGATCGCTTAGGTAAGAAGCTATTCTCCAATCAGATCGTTATGGGCGGCACTTAGGATCGCTGTTGTGCTTCCAACGTGGGACTACGGAGCGACGGGTTTGAAAAAAAGGGAAAAGTAACTCTGCAAAGGAGAAAACTCACGGTGGTTAAAGCACGTTCGGAAGGAGGAGGGGGACGCAGTTTTGTTATTTATCGGAACCTCTAGATTCTGGGAGCACAGACGGCACCTGATGAGCTGCCGGTGGAGTTTCTTTAGATGGTCCTTGTTTCAAAGTTGGATTTATGCGGCTCAGATTTGAAGCAGTGATGTCTGGAAAGCTTTCAGCTTCAGATTTTTTTTCCTCCATCGTTCCGAATTTATTTTCTAAATATTTTTGGGTTATTTTATCGCTTCAGAAGTTAGAAGTTTACGTTAAAAGCAATTTTTGAGACTTGGAGCAGCTGCAGGGTGTCCTTTTAACATTTGGCTCCTGCGTGATTTCAAAGGTAGTAGAAAAAAGGCAAATTATTTGCTCTTTTCCTGACACGTTTTTAGTACTTTATTTAATTCTAATGTTTTCGACTTTGTGACTCTTTTTTGTTTCTGAATTTCCTTGAATTTTACTTCTCCGTCGGACTCCGGGCGGCGGGGAGGGGGGAGAAAGTTGGGACTTGTTTCAGAGATGAATTCGGCTGAAACGGACACAAAGTTGTTTCTACGAGCCTCTGGGACACAACAGGACAGTTAATGAGCTATAAGGGCTCCCTTCACCTCCTAAAGCGAGCCTGATAATAACTTTGCCAGCCTGTGGGCACCGGGAGAGCTCCGCGGCCGCGCTGCTCTACTGGATACAAAATGGCGGCGTCCCTGGGACGGTATGGATGCGGTTCTCGCTTTGTTTTTTATTTAATTTTGTCGCTGGAGCTGCTCAACACATTCGGACTGTGTTCGGACGCACCTTGCCCGCTTAACTGTACCTGCAGCGGGGATTCGGTGGACTGTAGTGGCCGGGAACTGACCGTCCCGCCTCTGGACCTTCCAGTTCGGACCGTTTCCTTGTAAGTAACCCCCCCCACCCCTTCAACTATTTATTGACCTGTCCATATCAGGATAACTGGGCTCTTAAACTAACTATTTAATCCATTTTTTATGCAATGAAGACATTTCAGAGCCTTAGCTGTCCAGAAATCTTTCTGGAGAGATTTTCCTGTTGGTCCATCCAGCCGGTCTAAGGTATAAGCAAACAATGCAGTTGCTTAGTTTCTGTATTTTCTACCTGCGTTTTTTTTTTTTTTATTAACTATGTGCATATTTGGTCAGTTTGTTTTACACAGTAAATTCCACTGTGTTAGATATGCAGTGTCAAAGTACATTAACTCTTTTAGAGTTATTACAACAACAACTGGAGTGAAATATACACTATGTAGAGTTCTAATTTAACACTAATTCAGAGTGGGACCAGTGTTACTATAACTCTTCAAAATGTACTGTGTAGCTACATGTCAGAATCTGGGTAATTAGTAATTTGAAAAAGAAAAGTCTCCCCTTAAAAAAATCTCATAAATCTGGCTTCTTGTTCGTCTTGAACAATAAAGATTTCAACAACTGAATCCTGTTGGTAATAATAATTGTAATAGTAACTTTGTTTAGGTCATTTAAAGTGTTTTATCTCTGCTTCTGTCTCCTTGAACCCCACTCAGCCTCAGCAGATGGCCGCTCGCACCGAGCCTGGTTCTGCTGGAGGTTTCTTCCTGTTAAGGGGGAGTTTTTCCTCTCCACTGTCGCTACAAGCATTCTTAGTGTGAGGGATTGCTGAAGAGTCAATGAGGCGATGCAGTCAGCTGGTTTTCCTTAGATAGAAAACTATCTAAGGAAATCAATTTGACTGTTTGATCTTGTGAATTGTAAAGTATCTTGGGAGGACATGTGTTGTAAATTGGCGCCATATTGATAAACTGAATTGAATGGAATTAAAGTTAGGTCAAAATAAATTCACGGGTACAGGATAAAAATATGAAGATAACGTATTTAATCTCAAGTGATGCCAATTTAAAAGTATTGTATGAGGAAGTTGCCACCTGTGATTTTAATTTTGTTTTTCACTTGAGAAATATTGATTGATCTTACTGAAACCATCAGAGGGTAGCGCCACTCCCAGGAGCCCTCAAATTATCACATTAGTCAGATTTAGAGAGCATTATTCATACTTTAGCAATTATTCATCACTATCGTTCTCTATTCATTGCTGAGCTCCAGGGTCTGAAACAAAACTTTTGGTCAGAGCCTCATATAGACCAGATTATTTAGGGTTTAATGTGAAAGACGGTGAAAATATGGAGGCATGAATGAAGCAGGTAACAGTCAGGAAAAAACAAACAAACTTTTAAATGATAGATGAACCCAATGCTCTAAATACTATAGGTTTCATTATTTCCAGCAGACAAGCACACAAATAAAGGCTAGAAACTCTAACCTCATGTGGATTACTTTTGGATTTAAAGATAACTTTATAGAAGAAACTGATTCAACAGGTCAGACCTTGAAGACAATCTGCCAGAATAAAACACAGCTCAGTGCTTTTTTTCATTTAATCCGACCTACTTGGATACACCCTGCTTTGAGTAAATTTTTTATTCATTTAGTATTGTGTTTTTGGCTCTTATTTACAGCGGTTTAATGGAGGATAAATGTTGGGAGATTTACTATCATAGTTTTGGAACTACTGTATTTTATATCTGTGTTTGACCATCCCAACTTATTGCCTTTCCATAGCCTCATTTCTCTGAATGAGCAGTTATGTTCCCAGAGACATAATGAGTAAACTTGTTTGCTTGGGATGAGTAAACAAACCTGTCATAACGAATAATCTCCGCCATTATTCCCTCAGATTAGTGATGAGTATTATCCACATTTCCTTCTCTGCGTTGGAAGCCATGTTACAAATTGAATTTGTGGTAAATAAATCAGTTTCCCAGCCAGGGTAAGACTGAAAACAGCCAATACCTTGTTTGTCAGCTCATTTGAGAATTAGCCACTTTGGACTATTTTATGAGCCTTTCGGGTGCTCCAGCTACCATCCTGCTGAGGGGGACGACTTGTCCAAAGAAAACACAGCTCTCTGTGCTGTCTCCTAACTCCCTGAAGCTCCAACAGCACAGTTTTCTCCTGCGTTAATCATCAGTGTCAATTAAGCGTGCTGTTCCAGGGATTTTTCTGCTTGTTTGGTTCCAGTAGATGGTCAGAAATCCACGTTTTCAAGACCAAGCACCTGAGCTCCACTAGGTTTATCTTTGCTTCTTTGCAGTATGGAAACACAGCTTTACAAAAAAAAAGTCTACATTTACAGGGACTGGATGGTCTGCCAGCAGCTCTCTTATTGTGGGACAAATGTTCTGTTTGTAAAGAACGGCTGATGACTCCAGCCGCCGCTTCGATCCTTGTTCTGTTATCTCCTCCAAACCTTATCGGTTAAGATTTAAGCGGCCGCAATCTTTTTGTTTTCAAAGGGAATGGCTTTATGGCTCTGAATTATCTTTAAAACACCTAAGGTCGCACATTTCCACCAGATAGTAACATCGTATTGGCAGCCACCTCAAAGCAAGAGAGCGCCATTATTCTGGGGTCTTTGTAGAGGGCTGTTATTATTATATGGTTCCTGCAACTGGTGTCTTTTTGAGTCATAGCCAAGTGTCTAAAGCTCTTTATCTTAGCCTGTTTAAAAATCATAAAAAATGTCCCTTAGAAACTTTGGCATTTCTTCATGTGATCACACACAGGCTGTACTTTTCACTCCTTGCGTGGAAAATAATTTGTGATTGGGAACCATGAATTGTTCTTGGTTTCATTTGAACTGATTGCCAGTTTCCACAGTGAGGCATGAGAAATGGAGGAAGCCACTGTGGAATCGGCTATCTCTGTGATGTGTGTCCCAGAGGAACAGCAGCTGTATCGCTGCTAAAAGGGAGAGTATCGGTCCCTCCTTTCCTCACTTTCTTCTGGTTCATGTTTGGTTAAAAAAAATAAAAGATAAGTTGCAAGGGAAAGCATCAGAGTTACCAGACCTTTTTTCCAGCTGCATGGAGGATAAGATGCACCTGTTGCTGCACACTGTATTCCAGCTGACCTAAATGAGGCTACTAGATTTCCCCTTTGCTTTAAAGGGAAACTGGATTTAACGCATCCCTGTAACTTTTCCTAGAAATTAAACATATGGGTAGTACTTCCATTTTTGGGTTTGACTTTGTTGTAAAGACTATGTTTGTTTGTTTTGTGTTTTTAATCAGGGAGAGCTGTTTAAAATTTTTCCCTGGGTGTAGAGGACCTGCAGGAGTGTTTTCAGTAATGTGGCAAATCTCAAGCTTCCTTTTCCCATATTTATTCATTTCCCCCTCCCTCTGATAAACATCTTAAAAAAAACAAAAAAAACCCTTAGAATGAAAACGATTGTTCGTGATAGAAGAACACTCTGACTTTTTAGCCTTTCTATTGTGATTTTTGCTTTGAAGATCCGTCTCCAGAGATAAGATATGATAAAAAATTTTTATTGAACCTGCAGGAACTCTTTGTGGCAGGGCTTCAGGATCACGTTCAATGAACTTTAGAGAATATGGTAACATGAATAAGCATCAGTCTGGCCTTCTTACTGTACATGGTGGCAAAAATAACTTTTTTCCACTTGTTTTAAAATTGTCAATTGTTTGATTATTGTTGTATTGATTGGCTTTGTGTTTTTCCACCTTGTTGCAATCTGTGTATGCGTTTTCTGGAGGTGGGGTGTGTCTGTGCAGGTGGCAGCGATAGTTCTACGTCGGGGTTTCTTGGGTTAAATAAAAACTTTTCCCTATTGCTTTTTATATACGGTTTTGTTTTGTGCGTTTTTGTGGACTTAAATAGCTGCAGCTCACCTGATCAGTTCACGCTGTGCACCGTCTATCAGACAGCAAAAAGGGGCTTCTGATGAGTATTTGTGTGGGGAAGATCGGTTACCAGAGGGCAGGTTTTAGCCTGCAGCTCATCCATCACTGGCACAAATAAGGCCACAACTGTTGGTGGAAGAAAACAAAACGGCAATGCTTTCCAGCTGTCAAAATACCCCCCTCCATCAGGACCCCGATTATAACGGCTCTCTGTGAACAAGGGGCCTTGATGAGGATTCGTGGCAAGCAAACATGTTGGCATGTCCGCCGCAGGTCAGGCTGGGCCAACAACGGACTGAAGGGGGCAGTTTTTGAGAACACTACCATGCAGACCTTAAATCATCGTTATTTTAAGTAGCTTGCGGTTTTAATAACACCAATGCTTCATCAATCAACATGCCTGCGCTGTCTTCAATCGCAGATTGATTATTTTGACTGTACTACAACACAGCCTTGTAGTTACGAATATCTGGGTCAAGCACACATGTTGCTGTTTTCCGTCAGAAGTCCTTTAACATTTAGCAAATTGACCATTAGCCTGAGGAGTTGGACTCCTCTTCATGATTGATGAATAGCCTAACAGAATCCAAAGTGAGTAGTCTCTCACACTGTTGCATATTCCCCCGCAGGAGTGGTGCTTTATCTTATTTGCTGTCACTGTAATGTGTGCAAAAAGCATCTTTACCCACAGTGCCGCTGGCGTAATGGGATTCTGTGAGTAAATAAAAGCAGGGGCAGTGCTAATTTTGGCTGCAATTCGCTGCGTCGGGTAAAGATGGAGCAGATACCAGGGGTCTGTTTGATACAGTGTCTCTGTGTTTGTTTGTTTTTTTCTTCTTTTACTGCGTGACGCACTAAAGTCCTGACGGAAGTCTACAGTTTTTTAACTCGCTCTCTCTGCGTTTTCATGTCTGCAACTGCTGCTACGCACTGGCCATTGGTAAGGTAGGTTTTAAAGATGAAAACTTTTTGCTGTTTCCGTTATTCAATCATTTTATTTGTGGAACATAGAAAATTTTCTGTGGACGTATAAAGCTTAGGCTGCTCCTCCCCTACCTGCTGCTGTGCACTGCCAGCCAGCTGGCTCTGTTAGAAGATTTCTGTGTTTTCTTTTTTTTTTTGTTCATACACCTGTTTTACTT